GGTAGTATACTTAATTAGGCACTCAAAAGGTGCAGATATGGCTAGAATGTATCTTCGTCAGAATGTACTTGTTTGGGGCCCCTTCAATAAGGGCACTACATGATCCTAATATCTAATAAAAGTGATAAGCCAAAGAGGCTAACCTTGAAAAAAAAATAAAATAAAATAAAAATAAAAATAAAACTCAGTTGAGTTCGAAGTTTCAAGTTAAAGAAATTAGAGTATTTAACTTGAATTCATGACCAAATCCTGTGATTCTGAATAAGGTGATTCGTAACGTAATCAAGAGCTCTAATCCAGCATTATTGCTAAGAACCCAATTCATCTTAGTTATTCAAACCAAGTCTTTCCACGCCTCGATCGTTGCCTTATCACTACTGGGGGTTTGGTTTTATTAGTTGTGGTGTTCTGATTAAGGTAGTTTTAGTTAGTTTTAGTAGTGTATAGTTGTATTATCTAGGACCAGTGAATAAATCACACTTTTACAACATACATTAGGCGGCAAAAGTAACGGCTAATGGTTTTTTTATAGTAAAACATATAAAAAATTGCAATTTATAGGATATATAAAAGTTAAAATTTTTTTTATTAAAGAAAATTTTTTTTAATTCAATATTTATATCTCTATAATATATGAGTTTCATCGGGCTGAACGAATTGGATTGATTTTTTAAAAAATTATAAAGTTTACAATTCAAAATTTCATATGTAAAACATATAAAATTTGTAAATTTGACTTCAAATTAAATATAAAATTTTAAAATTGTTTTTAAAAAAAATTAACTATAATTATTAATAGCGTTACTTTTATATTTTATGAGCAATGTAAAATAAAAAATTATTTTTATAAAAAAATATAAGTTTTAATATAACATAACATTTACAATTAAAATTTGCAAAATTTACTTAATAAAACATAGTAAAAATCTGAAATATTAAAATTGTTAAAAATCTAAAATTTTAATAAGAGTTTTTAATTTATATAATTAGAAAATTTGACATTTATATTTTATGATATATAATTTTTACCGGGTCCAAAAAAAAACAAGTTTTTTTTTCTGATGACGAAATTTTCTAAAAAAGATTTTATATGTATTTTACTATAAAATTGATCATCAGACATTACTTTTGCCGCCTACTATACATTGTGGAAGGCCTGGGTTGTTGCCAAAATCTTTTTTTTGCTATTCTATTTTATTTTTCCCTTTTTTTTTAGTTTATTCTATTATTCGTATTTTATTTAGCATCTTTTTTTTAAGGCTCAGTATAGTAATCTTCACAAATCCAAAATTAGTAAGTGAAAAGGCAATCCTTACTGTAATAGTAAAATTTATGAATTTCGTGAACTTCTAATTTGTAGATTTTGTGAACTTCGTAAATTTCGTGGATTTTGTGAACTTCGAAGCTTTAGTGAATTTGTGGCTTTAGTTGGATAATTATATTGAATAGAGTAACAATATAAAAGCAGTGCTTATTCACCTTGAAAATAAATATAACTCAGTGAGTTCTAAATATATCTTAAATAAAAGATAACTCTTGAGTTCCCAAAACTTTCGAAATTAGAGTAGAAGTGTTTGTCGATAAACCATAGTACCTTTGTTGTTAAAAATCATCCATCAATTTGTATTATCTTGTTCCTGTGACTCCTGTATATTGATTGTTATATTTAGTAAAAAGAGACATTGTATTATTGCGATTTGCAAAATTCTGGAACCCATTGTTAGTTTGAGTGATGATCATCACTCCATGATTGTAATTGTGATTGTGACAAAAATAAGCATTTCTACTGCAACAAAAAAACCTTTGAGGTTGAATTCTGACTAAATATTTTAGAGATTAGTCAGGGCTTATTTTCAAAAGATAGCCTAATGCTTTTAATTGTAATATAAATATTTACTGCGCCATAATCACAATTGACTATGGCGCAGTAAAATAATTATATTATATTTAAGAGTGTCAAGCGATCTTTTGAAATTAAGCTCCAATAAATCTCTAAAATAATTAATCAGAACTCAATCTTAAAGGTCTTTTTGCTGCAGTTAAAATGCTTATTTTCGTCACAATTGCAATCTCAATCATGGAATAATAATCATCGCTCAAACTAACAATAGGTTCCAGAATTTTGCAAATTACAATAATAATACAACCCCTTATATATATAATCGATTCTAATTAAGTTTGTGATTAACATCACTATATGTATATACATATCTGATTCGTGATCTTGTGATACCGTGACCTTGTATTACATTTCCGATTGGCTAATTTCAATCATGAGCCCAAGCCACAACACCTATGAAAAGAGTTTAAAATACCAACGAAGGTGTTAAAGAAAGTAAAGTATTTATTAAAGAAATAGGGGAGCACTTATCTGAGTAAAACACTATCACTACCAACCCAATTAACCCTTATTACTCAGACCAAGTCTTACATGCCTCGATCATTGCCCTAGGCCGTTCGAAGTTAATTTTCGGTTAGCATCACCCCCTCCTTCCAATGGCCCCCCAGTAAAACGAACATATAAAAAAAAATTAAACTATAAATTAGACTAATTTTAGCTAGTAAGGAAGTGATTTTTAGAAAAATAGATAGCGCCAACGTTACAAATACATATATAATATTTAATTGCATGTTTGCAAACTATACATTTAAGAATGTTGCTTTTTTTGTTTGTCACTGTTAATTGAGAATCCTGTAAACCATCCAAAATTATTTCAGAGACTCTATACGAAATTAAAAGTAGCAAAACATTTGGAGATCTGTTATATCTAACTAATAATAAATATAAGCCAAATGAAATAGTTAGAGTTGAGGTTCGCTGTTCTGGAAGCAGTTAATATCATTTTTATACATCTGGAGTAGAAGGTAGTTTATGTCCTTGTGAGCCAGATTTGCGAAATATTTCTTATATATGATTTTTTATTAGTGATTCTGCTAAACTTTCTGATAGTCAATCAAATATATTTAGTAATGATAAGAATATATTTGATTTAATAATGAATAGCACATAAAAAAAAAACTTCCTTCACTAAAAAATAACAATAATAAGAGAAATCAATTATTTAATGATCTTATAAATAGTTTACATAAAATGAACTGTGGGTGGTTTAATGAAAATGAAGCAACAATAGGAGAAGTATTTTTAAATAAACTTACTACACTTATTTGGTATATTGATAAACACCATTCTAAGTTTTCTAATTATAGCTTATACTTTCCTAATTTTATTAGAGAGTTAATACTATATAAAAATAATCAATTTTATAAAAAAGGTTTACATTATAAAAAAGGATTATTAGAATGAACTAAATTAGAACTTTATATTAATGCTATTAAAGAATCATTATATCAGCCATGGGCTAGTAGTATTACTTGGAGACCTTTTATATTGCAAGTTCATTAGTTTATTAGTGCTATTCAAAAATATATAGAATATCTTGAAAATGTTAATCAAAGTGTTACAATAACTAGAAATGCAATGAATCCTGCCCGTAATCCAATAGATAATAGTACTGTTGAATTAAAATTAGAATATCATTTTAATGAAGTCAAAGAACAATATCATGAACTAGCAACTATAGTAAAAAATTCAAATGATTTATATCAATTGATGAATATTTGTCATTGAATTGTAATCAAAGATATAAATTTATTACTAATTTAGCTTTAGATACTACTATAATATTATATCGATATTATCATAAAAACTATCTTAGAACCTTAAATTTTATATGGCGAATATCAACTGACCCAAATATAAGATCTGAAAATTTGCAAGCACAAGCTATTATTAGTATTCAAAATAAGTTACCAAAATATTTTACAAGAGCAATGTGTAAAAATATATTTGCAAAGGTATAATTTATAAATTAAGTTATATAAATTTATAGTTTAAATATATATTAATTTTTTAATTATTTTAAATAGTATTCCTTATTAAGTAAAATTACAACTCATGTTTAATCATTATTGCAACATGATTTAACAGGAGATATTAGTGCACCAGAAAATTCTCAATCTAGAGAATTAGAAGAACGTCTTAAATTAATGCTTGAAATTAGAGACCCAGATATTTTAGTAGATTTAAGAATTAATAATGGCTTTAAAGGTACTAAATTTAATATTTTTTGGAATGAACTAAAATTATATTTTGAAGAGGTAATATTTAAAAATTAATTTATTAAATGTAACAGATTAAAATAAAATCAGATTAAAATAAATTTTTTTTAATTTTTAAGAAAAATTTAAAATTTTTTGAAGACCATTTTTTAGGGTTCTTTTTAGCATTAGGGGTAGGGTTTAGAGGTTATTAAAAAAAGAGTATATATGAGTTTTATAAGCTTTAAGGATGAGCAAGAGAGGTTCCTAATTTCATTTTAATCTGTGATATTAAATATTATAAATTTAATAAAAATTAATTTACTAAATTCATTTTACTATATATTACAAATTTAAACTTTTCAATAAATTTATTTATAATAGAATACTCCAGCAGTTCAAGATCATAGATATGGATCAATACTTTATATGCCATCATTTATTTCTATACGTAATTTTAAAGATCAAATTATTACTCGAATTAAAAATAAGTTGCCTAATATAACAGATTTTAATAATATTGCAATTCCTTCTAAAAGATGGATTAGTTATCAATTTCTTCCTAAAAATCCTTAGGCTAAGGCTAGTACAGAATATGTGGGTCAATTTAAAATTAAATATAAAGTTCAAGCACATTTTTTATGAAAATCACATCCTGATAATCATTATTGCAGAGCAATTTTTAAATATCTTCGTCATTTTTCAGTAAAATTTAAAAATAATCTTGGATTGATTTTTGCTGATGATAAATATAAAATTCCTATAGGAGAAGATACTCCAACTTCAACTAATGTACGCAATCGTTATTCAGCTATTTCTGCAAATGCAACATTAGTAGCTAATGATCATGATTTTACTAAATTATCTTTAACACCATCTGTAACAATAATAGCTACAATACCTGATGATTCAATAGAGTTATTTTATAATGGCAAGTATATATAATATATAAAGAAACTATATTTCAACCCAGTACAGCACTTAGACATGCTACTGAATTTTATCAAATTTTAAATAATTATTATAATCAAGATTTATCTGAAATTTTAGCTTTATATACTGATGGTGGGCCAGATCATAGATGTACTTATGGATCAGTTTAGATTTCACTTATTTGTTTATTTTTACAAGGAAATTTTGATATGTTAATAGCAGTATGTACAGCACCTTATTATAGTTAGACTAATCCAGCTGAAAGAATAATATCAATTTTAAATATTTTATTACAAAATGTTTTTTTACAATGAGATTCTATGAGTAGTTTATCTGAAGAAACTTTTGCTTCACTTAAAACTTTAGAAGAAATTCACAATGAGGCTGAAAATTTTCTTAGTTTAAAAAATGAATTACAAAATTCAATTTCAAATATACAAGCACTTTTAAATATTCGAACAGAATATTTAAAACTTTATGACAATACTTTTATAACTAGAAGTCCTGCTACAAATTCTGATATTAATGAATTGTTTAATGTAAATATATAATATTATCAAAAATTATTATAGTTAAAACTCTTATATTTATTAAAAATTTTATTTTATTAATATTTAACTTAAATTTTATTAATTAAAATCTATAGAATATTTTAACAATTGATCCTACTTTTAAAAAATTTATAACTATGGTGCTCCAAGTCACTTCTCATCAAAAATTATGTATTTTTTAAAAATCTATAAAATCTTAAGTTTTAAATATTT